GAACTCCCCATGGGGTAGCCCACCGTTTCCGACTAAGGAGATGCCTTCGCATAAGCGGGCCAGAAAAAGAAGGATCGTGGTGGACTATAGGAGAGTCAACGCCCGAGTTCTTCGAAATTCATACTACAGCAGGAAAGCTTCCGAGGTAATCCTGGAAGCGGCAGGATCGGCATTCCTCAGCATGTTAGATGCCGTCACCGGGTTCAATCAGGTAGAGAACACCGAGAGGGCGAAGAGGGTCCTGGCGCTCGTTTCTCGAAGCGGCCAGTTCTTGCCAACGTGTTTGACCTTTGGCCCGCAGAATGGACCGGAAGATTTCGCGTATGTCGTGGATAGGATTTATGCTCCAGGCAAGCATCGCAGAATGCGCTTGATGAAAGAATGGCTGCCATATGTGGACGATCTGACCATCCGTTCCGGCAGGGTTCTAGATGGAGTCGTCTATCGCGACAAAGAAGTGACTGCTCGCGTCCGGCAGGCGATCGAACGATCTTCAGTGCAGGAGCAGCAGATCACGGAAGCTTTAGAAGCCTGCGGATTTCGCTCTCGCGGCCTGGGCGCAGAAAGCAGTCCAAGCCAACAACTGGTAGGCCCAAAGCGGCCGGTACAAAAGGAAGCGCAAAGAAAAGGCCAAAACAAAGAAGACGGTAAGACCGGCGAGTCAAGCGCTAGTAAGATGAGTTCCCTTTGCGACCAAATAGGTGCGGGGAAGAGCAGGTACGACTTTCCCGACAAACAGGGAGGTGTAGAACCAGAGGTTTGCAAGGTTCCTCCCCCGGTGGCTCTTGTAGAACGAGTGTTGACGGTTGAGTGGGGTGTTAGGAGTTGGGGCAATCCTCAGGAAACCCGGGTTCCTAGTTGCAACAATCCCACTAACGTTTCCCGCAGCCATTTGCTGGTTCAACGGGCGGTGTCTAGCGAGGCCGTAGAGAGCTTGCTACAGACGCCCACCAGAGGCGATAGGAAGGGTAACAAGGCAGGTGACGAGCGACTACTGACCTGCGGGCGCACCCTGCCGCGGTCCGTGAGTATGGGCGGAGAAAAGGGCAAGGGCCGAGGAAAGTTCAAAGGCCTCTGGGATGTTTGGGCGGGGCAGTGGAATGTTGACGAAGTCAGCCGAAGGATCACGAAGCTGCTCCGGCATGGGAGAGACCTCTCAGAGCAAGAGAAGGTGCAGCAGATCAGCGCGGCTGGGTGGTCTGCCGCATCTTTCGTGCTGCGGTGCCTCAACATCATCCCAGATCAAACAACGGATGAGCTGTTAGTGAGAGCGGCAAAGGAGTCTGGAGGGCGTCTGGAGACCAACTGGACGTCATTGGGGCTCTACATCCGGGCGCGTCATAGCTGGAGTCTTCCCCACGTGAGGGAAGGATTACCCCTGGCGATTTTGGAGCAAGAGCCCTCTGTCTTGTTCCACGGAACCTCGCGCGCCCCCTGGCAAGGGATCTTGGGGTCTGGCGCTCTGGTCTCAGAGGCGACCCTGCACGGAGGTCATGGTAGAACCGATGTGCACCTTGTTCGCCAACCAGAAGCGATCAAAAAGGGAAGTGAAGTGATGATCTGGATTCCCACCAGGTTGTTGGGTCGGATCGCCCTGAGAGCCCAGCATCCTGTCTTCGCGAACGAAAAGGCGATTTACTTCAGCTTCCCATTACCAGTTGGGGGTATGTGGAAAGTTACAGCCGTAGATACAAAGGAAGTAGTCTGGACAAATGACGCCATGACACCGAGCAGAGCAGACACGCCGCAAAGCACCCCTAGGGCAGCGGACCAAGTGGTCGCGCCTCAGGCAAGTAATGCAGGTTCAAGGGCCAGAGAAGAGAGCCCAGAATCTTATGAAGAAGGAGAGTCGTCGTATGACGAGGAAGATGAAAGCGAAGCAAAGAAGAAGCCAGGAGAGAGTTCCGCCGAAGGCTCAGAGGAGACGGCAGCTCCTGCAACCGCTGAGGCTACAGAAAAAGGGGGTGGAGAACGCCCGGGGCCGGCTTTTCCACTGCCGACAGAGCCTAAAGCAGGGCTGCCGAAAGTAGCTGCTGCGGACAGTGCCGGGACCAGCGCCGAAAAGGATTCGCCTCTGCAAGAGGACAGGCCACGGAGTTCGCAAGGAACAGCCGCGATACGGTATAAGGCTGCTCCGGCGTGTTTGAAGGCCACAGTCAAGCAAGAAGTCCTAGAGAGCGAGAGGCCTAGTGGTGCGGCGGCAGCGGAGTCAGTGACAGTGGAGAAGGGGGCCACCAAAGAAGGGAGCTTATCCCATGAAGTAGCGGAAGTAAAGGAGGAACCTGGAGCGGCTCAGAGCGTCCAGGAAGAGAGCGTGAATGAAGGACCTGGTGCGGCTCATTGCGCCCAGGAGGAGAGCACGGGTAAAGGAAATCCGAGCGAAGAAATTCGTGAAGGAGGGGACCAAGTCGAAGCCAGCAGTTCGAGAAAGACAAAGGAACTTGGGCCTTCCGCTGAGCAAGTCAAGAAGGAAGCGGAAATGACGGCCCCGGTCGGGCAGGATGGGGCAGTAGTCGAGCTGGAACAGAAGCCAGACTCTTCACCCGATTGGGGAACTTCTTCAGCTTCGGAGAGCAGTCAAAGATCCCGGAGTACCCGTCGGAAGCCCAGTCCGACTAGAGAAGCATCCAGCGGTCAGGATGACGCGGATGGATCAGCCCGTCAGGTGGTCTTGCAGGCGAGGCCAGCAGAGCTGGCAATGCCACCAGAAGGGGCAGCAGGAGTACGTAGCTCCACGGCGTCCCGTCGAGACGCCGTGCGGGCGCATATGGAAACGCACGGATGTGTGACGTGCCCGAGGTGTGGCGAAGAGAATGCGCAGTGGAGAGTGATGTGTTATAAATGCAACCTGGAGAGAGCGGACGCAGGTGCAGTTAGGAGCGAGTTCGAAGCTCCATACCACCGCGGGCATAAGAAACGCGGGAAGAAAGGCTCGGCGCGCTCCTCACACACCTGGAGAGGCAGCTGGAGCTCGGATCGCCAAGGACAAGCCACTGCATCGAGCTCGGAGGACTGGCGACAAGGCTCATGGGCTTCGCAGGATTGGCAGAACGACGCCTGGGAGCCGGAACGCTGGCAAGGTGGCGAGTGGACGTCGCAAGACTGGGGAAGCGGATGGAAGAGAAAGTACGATCCGACGTCCGGAACGGACGAGAACCATCCGTACGCGCATGCCGGGCAGGCGTGGGCAGTTGGCCTAGGGGCGACGCTCCTGTTGGAAGTGGCGTGGTCAGGCGTGAGAGTCGCCCGGCAGACAGGGGAGAGCGCTGCGGCCATAGTGCGCGCGCTCGAAGGAGCTGTCGTGGCGGTTGTAGAAGCCGCCGGAGTACAGGCAGAAGCGACCGTTTCCAAGGTGTTCGAATGGATGGCCTTGATCTTGGCCTTGTGGGCTGTCTGGGCTTTGGGTAGATGGTGGAAGCACCAAGAAATGATGATGGCCGGGTTTAGCGCTGGGAAGAAGCGTGGGAAGAGAAACACCGATGCCGGAAAGAAGGGTGAACCCGAAGGGCAAGAGTTGTCGCCCCTAAGTGCACGAAGTGCCGCTTCACCTCTGCCCGCACCAAATTTTCGAACACTTCGCGCGAAGGCTAGGCTTGAGGAAGAAGGAAGAAGAACGAGATCGTTTCCGGCTCTCCCGCCTTCCACCACGACCCCAGTGCAGACGACAGGTAAGAGAAGAAGAAATCAGAGACTGGCTGGAGTTGAAACTCCTTCGATGAGCCCGGTCGGGAAAGAAAAGACCACCAAAGATCCAGCGGCCCAGTCGAGGGCGCGGACTGATGACCGTTCGGTGGTGCCAGAGAAGCCGATAGGGGCAGGACCAATCCGAACAATCGAGCTGCTGCGAAGTGCTACCGAGGCGCAAGAGTGCGCAGTACAAGTGCTGACCTCTTGTGCGGCCGAGAGCGCCAAGAAGGAAGTCATGGTTCGGCTCACGGCGTACGCCATCGACCGGCCGGAGTTGTTCGGAGCGCTAAAAGTAGCGCAAGATAGAGGATGCGACGTCGAGGTGTATGTTGATAAGTCGCAGACCGGACGAACCACAGAGCAGAAAAGGTTGGTGCACCAGGCAAGGTCCCAAGGCTTGAAGATCTTCATTGCAAATGGGGAAAGCCTGGGACCGCACTATGCGGCAGCAGGGCGGACGCGTTACAACTTCTGTGGAGCATTGCATGGAAAGACCCTAATGGTCAAGAAAGGTGACCAACTGGAGCTCATTATCGGCTCCATGAACTGGACCACTGCTAGCCGGGGAAACCATGAGATTGGACTTCATTTGACATTAGGTCAGGAAGATCCGCTAGCCATAGGATTCCAAGAATGGGTCAGTAACGTGAAGCAGTTCGCTTGCGATTTCCAGGCAGCAGTAGCATCAGACGCGTACGCAGAAAAGAGCCTCGGAGCGGCCAGGAACTGAAGGCGCCCGAGTGGCAGGAATCCCAGCGGTCCGAGTGACGCGGGACGTGATGGTGGGAAAAGCAGGCAGGAGGGCGAATGTGAAACAGGAGTTCTCCTAGGTGCCTGCTCTTCCTGGTGTTAGGTAGGTTGAGGCTAGGCTGAAAGAGCCCGCCTTTTGGTTTTTTTGGCTCAAGGTGCAAAGCGCACGAAGCCTGACAGCCTCGACTGTGTGGCGAAAAGTCAAGCGGTGTTCTCGAGCCGACACGTCGCTTTCGCAAAGAAGCTACTAGGAACAAGTGCCACGCTAGTAGTAACAGGTGCCTTACTACTAGTAACAAGAAGCTACTAGGGGCTCCTGGCCTTACTACTAGTAACAAGAAGCTACTAGGAACAAGTGCCACGCTAGTAGTAACAGGTGCCTTACTAGTAGTAACAAGAAGCTACTAGGGGCTCCTGGCCTTACTACTAGTAACAAGAAGCTACT